TCACGGATACACAGTCACGGATACACAGTCACAGATACACGCTCACAGATACACACTGCTCAACGTCACACGCTAACTGATACAAACTCACCAATACACACTCACTGTCACTCACTCAACGCCACACACTTACCAAACACACTCAGAGAGACACACTCACTGTCACACACTCACTGATAGTACACACTCTTTGATACACACTCACCCATACACACACGACGACTACTACTACTACTACTACTTCTACTACTACTACTACTACTACTACCACTATACCTTGTAGAAAACTACTGTAGAAAAAAAGCAATACGGTCTCAAATCTCAAAAGTACTACTAGGAGTATGATTCGTACGAGTAAGTACGTACGTACTGTATGAAGCATCGATGCTTGTTTGTACAAAAGCCCGATTTCATCACTCCGTGCTTTTTGTTAGCATTTTTATGGTGATTTCCGACCATGGTTCGAACGATCATTGGTGCTTCATTTGTTAGACTCGTATGATTCAATCGTATTGTAGTACACGTGTGTGTGTGCTCATTCGTACCGGTATGAAAGCCCGATTTCATCACTCCGTGCTTTTTGTTAGCATTTTTAGTGTGATTTCCGACCTGCTCATTTGTCGTACCGGTATGGGTACTGGTATGGATGCCCAATATCACCGCTCTGTGCTTTTTGTTAGCATTGTTATTGTGATTTCCGACCACACCCCCCATATGGAGAAAAAGTCTTCTTATCTTCATCATTTCGTGGTGGATATCATGTGCCACTGTTATCACTAAAACATTGAGCGTCTCATCCCCTTAACTTTATATTTTCTCAGAGAAACAGCCATTCATTTTGTACTACGGTCTACGTTAAAAAAAACTTCATACCGGATTTTTAGTGTTTCTCCCCCCTCAGACTCCCTATCGTTTACTATTTCAGTCGAGAAAAACTATTCTAGTATTTTTTTTTCTTCTCGACTTCCATGATTCTCGCATCTCCGTTTCCCCCCTCCCCCCCCACTCCACAAACTAATGAGTCCAAAAATATTTCCATTAGTGGTCCATCCTACTAGAGAGGTAAATTCATTGCTTACTACTTGAGAATTACTATTAGTGCTTACTACTGGAAAACCTCTATTACTAATTACTAGTGGGGATGTTATAGTACTAGTAGTGAGCACTTCAAAGTGCTGTGTTAGGGGGTTTTGTTGTTGGTGCTGCTGCTCCTCCTCCCTTCTCACAGCACAAACAACAAAAACCTACTATAACATCCCCACTAGTAAGTAGTAATAGAGGTTTTCCAGCAGTAAGCACTAATAGTAATTCTCATCTAGTAAGCAATGAATTTACCTCTCCAGTAGTAAGGACCACTAACAGGAATATTTTGGGACCAGCAATAAATTAAACAATTTGAAACAATTTTTTAACCTGTAAAAATGACCCTAGCTAGGTAACAATCTGTGGTTCTCTGTGTTGGGACCATCAAAAACTAGGCAGAATTTTGATAAGCAGTACAAATTGTGTCAATCAAAATATCTGGGCTCTCCCTTTAGTCCTTCTGAATCATGACTTGTCAATCCCGGTTGAAATAGCAACAAACTGATCATGGTCAAGACAAATCTTCTGTACTAGTAGAAGAACTCATACTGCTACCGGTAGTACATATTAGGGACCCAGTGTCGTAGTAATTAGTAACAAACCTCATACTACTACTAATAATAATACACTGCTTTTTTTTGGGTGTTACAGTACTACTACAACAAGTAGCAACCAAACATGTCAATCCTGGTTGAAATAGCAACAAACCGGTGATCATGGTCGAGACTAATCTTCTGTACAACAACTCTTACTAATACCAGCAGTGGGTATCAGGGACCCAGCAGTGTTGTAGTAATAAGTAACAAACCAGTACTCGTACTACTAATACACTGCTTCTTTTTGGTTGTTACAGTACTACTACAACAAGTAGCAACCAAATCGAATAATATGTTGCATATTTTTTCTTCTTGTATTACAAATTACATTTGCCTATCACCGCAACAACTCGCAATCTTATGGTAATTGTAGTCGCTCATGACGCCCTCCTTCATTAGCTTTAGCATGAAGTAATGCGGATACAAAAATAAACCACTTATGAGAATGTTCCCGATATCGAAAGACAATACGCCCATGAACAGGCTAAAAGCGTATGCGCAGCCGGCCGTGATGATACCCCATTGTTTGAACGTGAGGGCCCCGTAAATCCCGCATGCGTGGAGTCCAATCGAAACCGTGGCATAGGCATCGATTGCAGTTTCCGTGGCCTCGATGCCACCCCCCTTGGCAAATTCGTCGAGTCCCTTGCGTGTGCTGTCGTCGTTGATGTCTGCCTCGATATCATCGAGGTTCTTGGTGACGTAGGAGGCTACGACAGCCAAGACAATCATCCCTACAATCTGCATTCCAATGGTGATCGCGTTCACCGCGATGACGGCCTTACGGTGATCACAGCAAATACCCAGAAATAGAATGTGCTGGTCTGTGTGGTTTAGAAAGCCTACATCGCTAACGGCACCACTATCTATCGATAGACCCGAGGAGAAAGTTCGGTGAGATCCAGGGTCGTCAGGCCTGTAGTTTGGAGCCTGGGAGTGATCTTCGGTGGGAAGAGGGATGAATGCTTCTTTGTAGCTACTGCCCATTATGGTGTGGTGTACCTTATCGATGTGCTACGCTATTTGGACGACTCGTGCTACTTCGGTGTGACGCTTCACGAATCAGACAGGACTATTGATTTGCTGCTGAAGTTATTGTAAACAGTGTGCAGCAGAAATTGAATCTCGTCAAATGAAAACGCACTTTTTGTCGCGCGGTAAAACGCAACAGTATCTTTTCTGGGAACGAATGAAGTAATAAAGGTTTCGAAAAACATGTTCTGGTAGAGAAAGAATCCCCCCAAATTCATCGGTGAGTCGTGGAAATGGGCAGGTCATGACTTCGCCGAGCTTTTTCATTCGTGGAAATTAATATTACAACATATGTATACTATGAAATAAGCATACTATCATATATATCATACGAAGTAGAAGTAAGGTACATCTGAACTCTGAACCCAAGAACGAGGTTATGATCAGGGGTCATAGTTATGATATCGTACGTACCGTATTTCAACTAAATCTCTAACGAGGCATGACAAAAGACTAAAGAATGAGATGCACCCGGGATCGGATTACTATGCTGTAACATTCAACCAAAAATATCGTGATAGTATTGTAACACAACGGCCGAATTCCTTTTTGCAACGAACCTCTCCTTGGGTAGCGATACACAAAAAGGCATATCAAAAATACCGCTCAGGCAGTTTGAGGGATGTTGTGACTATGAAATTCCAACCGGGTTTGGTCGAAAATCGAACGGACGGGTTGGTCGACCAAAATTATTTACTGCGTTTGTTCGTAACCGCAGTTTTTGTGCAGCAAAACAAGCCAAACAAATGGCAGTTGCACGAGGCAAACCCGGATCGCTAGCTGGCTCTAGAAACACAACGTGTATTGTCCCAATGTTCTCTACCTCTTGACATAGCAAGGAGTAAGGTATTCAGAGTGTTTATGCTGCACTAGTGGACAAGGGCCTAGCGGAACGAGTACCGTACATCGAAAACCGCAAGAATAAGTAAAGCATTCCATCGGTTGACCAACCTAGCAAATGAATGAAATTAAGTCGAGCAGAACTTAGACGTTGGCGGTTGCAAAGAGAAGATTTTCCTATATTCAATATCAAAATTATTCCATCATGACAAAGAGCGACAAGTTTTTGCATGATTTTGTCGGAGTAAGTTACACAGAGTTTTGTTCTTACATTCATTTGACACCATCATCCAGCCTGCACTTCACGGCATGACATCGCTAACATCTCGTTCTAATTTTCCCCTATAACATCATTCAGACGCTAACTCAAAACATGTTGCATCCAGTATTGCAACAAAGAAGAGTCAATAACGACAATAGTAACAGCCATGATATTCGCAACGTGAGCTCTTCGTCAACAGAGATTGTCTCGCTGCAAGGTGCAAGGAATGGGCACTTAAATCGGATCGGATCAAATGATGTAAATACGAGTAATACTTCGTCAATGACAATTTCCGCATTTTCACCACCCGACCAAAATGTTAGCTTCGACAATGATGAGGCGAGAAGCCGTTCAGAGAATACACGCAGTAGCAGCACCACCAATGGTGAATTTTCTTTTTTTACCGGCAACCGTAACCTACCCTCATCTAGCCATCCCGAAGCCACTCAGAGGCCGCCTTCTGTTACTCTAAGAAGTAATGGCACCGCCGGTGTACGCCCAAGGCAGAGCCATGCCACTCAGAGGCCGCCACCTGTCACTCCGAGAAGTAATAGCACCAGCAGCGTACGCCCAAGGCAGAACCGCGACGTTCCACGCAGACCACAAACCACACAATCTCGATCTCGTAACATGAAGGGTGCCACCCAAAGTTTAGCAAAGGAAACCAAGCTCTTAAAACACCGTTTGGATCGTGTCCTTGACGTCTTTACAGAAACTGTCGTTTCTGTGGAGCAGAGCAGGGCCACCAAGCTCGATTCACTTCGGGCCGAAAGGGCTCAACTCCTAGCAAGGGTACGAGTTTTGGAAATCGAAACTGTCCACCAAGCTGCCGAGCTAGAGGATAGTGACGAACTACTCATCGAAATGGAAGAACGACGAGTGTTGCTGACAAAAGAAGTTACGGTTTTGAAACAAAAATGCTACTCGCTAGCAAAGGACGTTGTCATTTTGAAGAAATCTCTGGAAGCCTACAAGCAACAACATCAAATACCAAATAAAATGGATAGTGCAGAAAAAGATAAGCTTATCATTGAAAACAAGAAACTTGCATTCGAAAACAAATCGTTGAAACAGGAGTTGAGCGCCAAGGAGAGCATAATCCATGAGCTAGGATCCAAGCTGTACCAGGCCAAAATGAATCTCATGAACAGAGATGACGACAAAGAAAACAAGAGAACTACAATCGTCAACACAAAACAAAACATCTCTGCTGGGACAACGTCGGGAGGGAACAGCAAAAGCAGCAGCGAAATAGCTACACCAATGGGAAAGAAACATACAAAAAAATCGCATAGCGTGACACTTCGCGGAAGTCATGGCAAAAAAGGAAGTCCCAATACTGGGAAAACGCGCACGTAGATTCGCATTTCAGTTACAAGCTCAACCAAGCAACGAAGCTATTCACTATCGAACCTTTCAAGTAACAGTCTCAACTGAAAGATTTGTATCTAGACAATCGAAGTACAAGTATCGCATTCTACAAGTCCTCAAAAATCTTTGACTTGTTACTGAGGTACTAAGTAGATCTCTAGATCGTTGTTTGGCTAGACTATAGCGCAAATTCCGTGTCATCAGTTAATGGGTTTCGTTTGTACATGTTCTGGAATGGAGGGGATTTCCTTGCGATTAAGTGATGGATTGTTCCATTATTTGCATATTCCCTGGTTGTCAGCATTTCGGCAAAGGACGAGCAACCACGCTGTGTGTGCGGGTTGGACATCAATCAAAGAATTGTCCTCGTCACGAAAGGCGTCATTAATCCGTTCCAACCCACTTCCAAAAGGCGAAGCTACCATCTCGGTGACATTACACAAGCCATTCAGCAAATAAGTCTATCCAATCAATCCACCTGGCCATCGGTCACATCTACCAGATTTTTGCCACTCATAGTTTACTTGTCATCTGCCTTAACACCGCGAATGACCTCCAACATGGCATCGGCCAGGGTGACGTCCGGGAATTCGTCTCCGGCCGGATCGTCCTCGGACTCAGCCACCCGAACGGCTTTAATTTCACCGTTCACGGCGTAGATCGCGTGGCGCTTGCAGCGTCCCCACAATCCGGCGCCTTCGGTGGGACCTGGGTGGGTCAATTCGAGATCAAGGGCCTTGGTCAGATCACCCTGTTGGTTCGGTTGTTAATTGTATTTTTGGCAAGAAAGGAATAGATTGCAATCCAAAAAATTCTCGGTTAGAATAATTAGTATTGTTGAGTCTCGTAGTTATCCGCCTTGCTATTCGTCGACGTAATACGAATCAAGGCTCACAAACTCTGCATCGCAAACACGCTACATCAAAAACGTGCTGCGCTTACAGTGTATATAGCAATGATTCGCACATACCTTTGGATCGGCCATTAGTTGCAACATGGACAAACCAGTTTTTTGGTCCTTGGACCATGCCTGCATTACGGCAGCGTCATTCTAAGAAAAATAAATAGCACAGGAACAGAAATAATGCAACGATTCCAATGGAATTATGCATCACGAAACTTTTGTTTTGAGTAAGAATGGCATTCGATTCGATCAATTTGATACCATGACTCTCCAGTCCTAGCAATGTGTACATCTAAGGAACTCCACTTACGACACAATAGACAATGACTGATTTTATCCCTTCCTTTCGAAGTGCCTTTTGGTGTTCGAGATAGTTGGGGATCTGTTTTGTGGATCTTTGTTGTCGCAATTTCGAAAAAGCGATTTGGGTGTATGGACGAGAAAGTGAGTGAGACAAGTTACTGGGTGCATAAAAACTTCACGTCGTTGTTGCCATTTTCAAAGCACTCACCAGGTGGGAGTAAAGGCACCAGGCAACCCCACCAACAAGATGGACTTGTCTTTGGCAAAGTCGGCCAGATTGTGCTTTTCGGGTGGGAATCCGAGGTGTAGCTCGACACTCGGCAACTGGTCTCCCACCGAAGCAAATCTACGCAATCCAATTGATCGTGCTGCTGCTCGTTTTAAACAACCAGCTCTTCCAACGAAAAGGGACATATTACAAACACTAATATCGGGCGAAACTTCCTTTTTCAGAAACTGATTGAGGTGTAGTAGAACCGAACTTTTTGGGGCCTAGCCAGTTGGTTTCGTGTTCTAGGAGCTTTTTGATACCGTGCAATACTATACGGTATGTTTATGTGAAGTGGTGTATGCTTCCGATGAAGACAGACTATCAGTGTCTAGAGTGTCGCTCAGGTCCATCAGATTGCGCTGTACGGTAACATTCTGCATTATCTTCGATTCGATATATTTTAGTGGCGGTCAAAGGTCTGATGTCGAGGTGTCAAAAAAATGAGGCTCTGATGATAGCAGTCGACGAACCTCTTTGAAATGCCCTCGGCAAAGCAAAAAGGAGTTTAGGTTCTAGAGCTACTAACTGTTCGCTAACGCTAACAGCCTACGTAACGAGTCCCTTGTTGGGTTTCTTGGATCCTCTGGTTCTAGCGAGAATAGATGAGGCTGGTGGGTTAAGCAGGTGTTAAGGGAATCCAGAGTAGTAACCCTAACCACTTTGTCCCGTGAGAAGGGGGGATTAGGGTTAGTACTATGGAACCCGGAGCCGCCTGCTGATCCACGCACCGGCGCACTGTTAGTACCAGCTGCGTGATGGGCGGTCGGGATCGCTTAGCTCTTAGTTAGTTACTACTAGTAACCGTTGAGCAGCTCAACATTTCCATGTAACCACGCGCGCTTGGTTACTGCGCGGTTACAAAAAACTAACACTAACAAACACTAGTTATTTTTTGCTTAAATACGCGCACCTCAACAAGTTACAAGCGCGCGGATTGAGTTTTTGTAACCAAAAATTGTAACCAAACCCTTCCTTAAGGAGAGCCCATATTTTTTACACGATACTACTAGTAGTGTGGTTACAAAAAAAAAGGGTCTGGTTACAAAAACAGGCGCACTGGTTCCCTCGTGCGCGCTTGTAACCAGGCGCATGCACCTCAACAGGTACACACAAAAAATTGTCTTCACTACTGTAAATACGTAGTATCAGTAATTGTACACAGTATCTTGTACGAGGAGTACGAGTACTAAAAAAATGTGAGCAGTTCTCAAAAACTCATCTTGATTGCTATTCCAGCCAGTACAAACTCATGTAGAAAACACCGTAGAAATATTGATTTGCAGGGGGGAAACAAGCAAAACACCAGCATCCGTATCGTATCAGCGGCTCCTCCGTATCAGCGGCTCCTCTGTATCAGCGTCCTCTGTATCGTATCAGCGGCTCCTCCGTATCAGCGGCTCCTCTGTATCAGCGTCCTCTGTATCATATCAGCAACTCGCATTACTAGCGTCCTCCGTATCAGCGCTGGCTCGCTCCTCCGTATTGTATCAGCAACTCGTATCGTATTAGGGGGGGCTCGCTCCTCCGTATTGTATCAGCGGCTCCTCCTCGCTCCTCCGTATCGTATCAGCGTCCTCCGTATCAGCGAGCATCTCCGTACTATCAGCATCCTCCGTATCATCAAGCCTCCGTAAAGCAGTAACCAAGCGCGCGTGGTTACATGGAAATGTTGAGCTACTCAACGGTTACGTAAATATCTGTGGAAGAGCTAGCGCAGCACAACAAGTACTATCACTGGTGTAACCAAATTGTAACCAGAATTTTGTACCTTGTCGAGTCCGTGTTATTATCACCGGAAAATTTTTGTACCATGCGCTCTCGAGCGCATGGTACAAAAATTTTCCCGTGATAATTACACGGACACGCCAAGGTACAAAATTCTGGTTACAATTTGGTTACACGCGCTGCGCGAGCTCCTCCACAGATACTATACATATCATTACTGGCTTGCTTCACTAGCAATAGTGGCTCTTGTGGACCACTAGTATACTTGCTGCTGAGCTCTAGGGCGCACCTCTTGCTGCTGCTGTTCCCTTTGCAAGCTGAGCTTGCTCCTCACCATTCATTGCTGGTTCTTGTTACTACTAATTCAGTCAGTCCCGGCACTGCGCGACTTGCTACATCGAGTACCGTACAGGCCCCACAATGGCAAGTTATTGGCAATCCCCAAACAAATACTAATAGGTGGTGGTGGTGGTGTGGATATTGAAATTTAGATGCCGCTGCATTGTTTCTTTGAGAAGTTAAAGTGATCACTTTTTTGTAGTAGTGGTGGTGGTGGTGGTACTATATCTGTTCACCAAGAACTTTCTCAGCATCATCTACTACTACACATGGTGATGATTGAACAAAATATCCATCAACAAGAACATTGTCAATTTATTTACAATCATCCTGGTACTAGTACCTATTTTTCATTTTTCTATTTTGCAGACTTGAAAGTAGATATGGCTCCATTTGTTTTTGATTTTTCAAGATTATCTACTAGTATATTGTCATCAATCATGACAGGTCTACTACCAACATACAATTTAAGCATTCTTGGATCTATCACCAAAATTTTGGAAGATATGTCAGCATCTGATGTGGCAGTAAATAGTAAGCACCAGCAGTGGGCATGCCTGTGGATTTTCTTCTTTTATTAATGTGCAGTTTTAGGTTTGATGCCATAATTACAATAGTAGTGTGATATGGCAATCTGCCATTTATATTTTTTTGAATGTGGTGTTGTGTTGAGAAACTCAGAAAACATGCCATCATTTATTGCACACTTGTTGTCTCCTGCATTGCTGTATGTTGCATAAGCAATAGTATCTTCTAGGAGTTTGTCCCAAGGTTTCACAATTCTTGAGTTCATAATTTGAACATCTTCTTTTTTCAAACCATTTCTTCTTGAATCATCAACAAGAAGAAGCTCCCCTTCTTGTTTTACTGAATCATATTTAAATCTGTGGTTTATTGTTTAAAGTTCAAGTAATATGTTGTTGTTTTTCTCCAAAGATAGAAAGAAGCTTCTGCTGATAAGAGGGAGGATAATGATCCTCATCCTACTGGGAGTTGAATGAATTGCTTTTGATTTTCCAATACCACCACCATTCCCTGCTAGAAAACAGAGGAACTCCTCTTTACTGCTCATGCTAGTTGTTGTGAGGTCTTCTAGTATGTAGTAGTAGTAGTACTTGTTGCAGCAATTAGTACCAATCTCCCCTTCTTGGAGTCCCTCCTTTTGTTTAATCAATTAGATGAAATCACAGATTTCTCAAGTGTCAAACCAAAAGCAGCAACAATCTAGCTCTGCATTTTCCTGGTCCCTATCATTTTGAAAATTCAACTTTGCACAGTAGTAGTACTTGTGTCTGATATTTTCCAGGCTTCCAGTACATGACGATGCAAAGTTTTTGACAGCTTCCATATTATTTCTTGTCTCTTCTTGGATGACTATATCAACCTTTTATGTAGAATTTGATACACAACACATATTGACATATTGATAGCTTGTTTGTTGTCATATTCTGAGTCATAGCAACCAGTGATGATAGCTGAGCCTGACAAGTTGTGGAATGCAATTGCACTTTGTCTGGTAGTACTTTGGGTGGTTTAAGCACTGTTCTTTGGCATTTTATGGCTGAACTGCTGCCATTCTTTACTTTGTTGATGTTGGCTCCAGCAGCAGTATCATGCTTTAGTGCAACAAGTAGTATCTGCTATTACTGATCACTTGTAAAATTCTGCACTTCAACCATTTGAATACTAGGCATTGTATGATTCCTCCTTTGTGAAAGAGTGTCCTCAGACTGGTCGTCATGCAATTTTTGAAATCAACAGCTTCTTCTTTGAATGTTCTGGGTGTGTTTGTGTGTGCCTGCTGTGAAAGAAGGCAAATGTTTATCATTCCTTATTGCTCTTGAAAAAAGAGCCAGCCGTTGTAATACTACTACTTTTGACTTTGTTGTTAGATGTTCTGCTAGCCAATCACATGTCAGAAAGTTTTCAGTATTGCTATCTGTTGCCTCAATAGGAGTGTTTGTGTCACAAAATTTTAAAATGGCATCCTACCAACCAGTTCTAGTATTATAAAGCATGGGCCACATTTTTCTGGTCGAACCAGATGTACATTTTTTAGTTCAGATACTATACAGCACTATATACCTTTCAATACTTGTTAACCCCTCTGACCCCCCATATGACTAAATTTGTCGTTTTACTGGGATTTGATTCATGTGCATAACATGCTTAAGCATCTGTTGCGGAGTTATCTGTTTGAGTGAGTTGACCCTTAGTTAACATGCTACATGTTTTTTTGGGCTATTTCCTGTGTAATGACTTGTGGGATTAAAATTTGAATTGTACTAGGGCTACAGCGTGCGCCTGCAAGCAAAACAATTTGGTTGCACAACTGGTGCAATTCAAAACTATTTGGTTGCATGACTGTGTGATTCAAAAATTCAGCACGTACCCAGCTGTAAACTGCAGTACAAGCCAGTTTTTTAAGACGCAAAACAAGGGCCCAAAATCTGGGACTGGTGCGTACATTTGCTGGCCAACTAGTACTATATGATAGTTCTCAAACAACAGAAGTATCAATTTCATGACTCATCATGCTGCCTGTGTTCCCACCAGAATGACTGTATCCATATCCCCCACTGTTCTCATGCCCATTGATTTTCTTGACATTGGAATAAAAATTTATGTTCTTTGAGGAAGGCAACAGAACTATTGGATTCCTAGTAGTAACTAATCCCACTGGAAACTTGGCCAACTGTGTTGAAGAATGGTTTGATAACTTCTGAGTTACTCCAGAAAAATACTCCAAAAGTCTCAATCTGGCAAAGAAACACTAGCACGACTACCATCATACTAACAACATCAGTTGGCACCATCTTTTTATGGACAGCATTTCCCAGCATTCTTGGAACAAAGTCTTGAATTGATGTTTAACTTTGTGAACTAGAAGAGGCAGGGAGAAAATGCTCGTAGACAATCATATTAGGGCTGGTACCTCCCTCCAAAGAGATGTGATGGAGACACAACCATTGAGACAGGTGGGCTGGTTGGTTTATTAGGTTAAAAATTGTCTCACAGCGTAAAGTGCAGGATTTGATTGTTGCTAACAGCAGGGGCCAGAGAGGCTCTGACAAAGCAGGCAGTTTGTGTTGTCTCTTCTTGAAATATGTGTTGAAGACCAGGCTGTCTTGTGTAATGCTCTCCAGTGATTGTTTACCATGAGGAAAGGGTGAAAAATACTGGGTTATCTTGTTGTGTGTGCTGTGTTGGAGACAGAGAGATACTATGTACTAGATGCTTGCATGAATCATTTTCTTGTACACCCTGAGGTAATACAACAATAAAGAAGTGGTGGACGCTTCAGATAAGAAGTTTTCTGGATCCTGTGGGATTAAATCAGCACAGCAAGAGGGACACATCCATGGTTATAGTGCAAATATGTTGTGGTATTTTCTTGCTGTCACCTATTGTCATTACAATGCCTGTTTTTGAGAAACAGTGTGCATGTGGAGGTCTGTATTTTTATATTTGTCCCACAATGACATATACTATGAGTTGAGAAAGAACTCCACCAAAGAACTCCCAAGCACAATCAGGGATTGAGAGCTAGTAGAATGAAGATCAGGGTCAGTAACCCACTGAAGTGAAAGGTGGTGGCCAGTGAACAGGTGGTGCCAGCTGATCTCACTTTGGATAGCAGGGTGAGGAGATTTGGAATATTTCTCTGATTAAACAGTGTCAATGTCCAGCCATTCAGTTATGCAACATGCAAGAAGAGTACTATCACCAGTTGTAAGCAATCAGAGTCCAAGTGCAGACATCCATTGCCACAAAGGGTTGACAGTCTGTTGATGCCATTGCTGTTGGGTTGTATATGAGCATTAGAAGACAAGATACTGGGATTCTTCTGATTGGGCACAGAGATGGCATATGTCAGTGGTTTGAAACTGCCACTGTTTGAGAACTGTGGCAGTTGTGGGCAAGATGTGATTGCAGCATTTGTTAGTGACCAGAACAGTCCTGGAGATGAAATTGGTGGCAGTCCATTTAGACCCCCAAGCAACATTGGCAATTGTAGAAGACCATTGATTCTTTTCTTGTAAGTATGCATCATGATGACATGGAATGAGGTAAGAATTGGTGAGGACTGTCTTATTGGCTAGTGACCGACTGTGATTTAACCTGAAAGATAATGAGACAAGAAGGCAGAACTGGTGTGATTATCTCAGATCTAGATCACAATCAGGTTCCTATTACCTGCTGTGGTTTTATAAGGAACCTCCTTGTTTGAAATGTTTTGTGTTCATATGTTGCTCTGTTGGAGCAAAGCAATAAAGCTTTCCATGGTCACACTGTTTGTCTCCAAAAGCAGGGCCTACACCAAGATGCATTGTGAACAAAGAGAGTCAAACACTTTTTCTCTCCACACTAAACTTGTCCAACTGAACTCACTCTATTTCCCCTGACCCTAGTAAAGCTTTCCTCTCCAATGACCACCAATGCTTCCTTCTCAGCATACTAGCTAGTAGGAGCATTCAAGATGCTGCTACTATTTCCACTATCCCTGATAGGAATCTCATTGCTCAGTATTTCATCCCTCTACTAGTACTAGTACTAGTACTAGTACTGACTAGTACTAGTAGTGGAAGTACTAGTTGCAAACAGCCACTGGAGAGCATCACTCAAGATATGTTGGTGGTCTTTGATAAATACTCCAAAAAGAAACAACAATACTTAAAAAATAATTCCAACATACCCATCACTCAAGATTTGCTGGTACTATCCAATAGGTACTCCAAAAAGTGGCAACAATAATCTACTAAATTATTCCAGCAGCATACCTTACAAGTACAGCATCTGTCCTACCTTCACTAGAAGACACAACCTTCTCCCAGCAAGAAGTGATGGTTCTAGTTTCCCTAATGCCTCTGCTAGTTAAAAATTTTATTAAAAAAATAGCGACATCAACATTATGCAGCACTCATAGTACCATCGTCATGTTTTTGGCTAGTCTTGGGGTTTTGAACCACGTCTGTTTTGATGGTTGTATGGCTTATGGCAGAATTTATCAAGTCTTGGGAATGGGTTTATTTTTCATGTAAAATTAAGCAGTTTGATTTTGGAGTGACCAATCATGACAATGACTCATCATCAGTGTAGTAGTAGTTGTCCCATTTGCTATTGCCTAAATGTTGTTGAATGGCATTCAACTTCAGTGTTGACATTCTGTTATTATGCTCTACATTGCTCCTCCCCACCAATTTCTTGGAGAGGAACTGATAGTATTTCATGTTATGCTAGTACTACTAGTACTCAAACTTGTCCAACAAGGCGTTGGTTGGTAACACATAAAATGAATTCCATAGAAAAAAATAGCATGCACATTATGAAAATATATTTTTTACATGAAATTGAACAGTTTATTAACACAGGAAACAATATTATTGACAATAGTACAGCGCACCTCTTTTACACAAGAATGATGGATACAAGAAAGTTCTCCATACTGACAAGAATTATAGCAGCCTCAGAAATGCATCACTCTTAGCTATCATGTGCAAGCAGAGGCATATCTAAATGACTGCTAGAATCCATATGACAGTAAAATCACATTCACATGCCTATTTTTGAATAGCTATTGTATAGAGTTAGCAGAGAGTTTCCAGCTGTGTCATTCGTACATTTTCAATCCTAATTCATACACATATATCAATATAGTCCACTACTAGGAGGCCCCTGACTCTCCCATAGTACGGTTACTCGGAAGCTCTGAAAAATAGCTTGAAAGAATTCATGCCCTTAATACCATAGTACTTAAGCGTCCATTGGGGACAAAGATATAGCTGGTGTTGGAGTGAGTTGAACCTCTCTTAACAATGTCATACGTCTATTTTGTACAGTGCGTCAATTTTTGGCCATCTGATTACCATGTAATGACTCATGGGATTAAAAATTTGACTTGTAGTACTAGGGCTCCTACTACTACAGTGTGCATGTGCAAGCAAGACTATTTGTGCATATGTAAGCAAAACTATTTGGTCACAAGACTGAAACTATTTTGTCACTAGACTGGTGGGATTCAAAAATTCAAGACTGAGCATGTGCATTTTGTATGTATTTAATTTTTTGGTCAAAGTAGTCATACACAGAAAAATAAGGGCCCAAAATCTACAACTGGTGTGTACATTTCCTAGCCAAGCCTATATGATAGTGTGCTCTTCAATAGAAGGTACTGTTAGTACTACTACTATATAATTGTATAGTATTGAAATACTAAATGAGTCTCCTTATAAAAAAAGAACCACTGAAATCACCCAAATATTGAGCTTAATCCAGCTTGAGAGGAGGGGCAAAACTATACTACTAATTTGCAATGGAGGTAGTAAGTGACACCTGAATAGCTAGTGAGTAGTAACTCCTTTCACTCCTATTTGTTATACTACTACCACCATTTGTACAAGACTGATGTTCTCATCCTTTAGCAGGTCATAGTAGTAGTACTACTACTACTAATAGTACTAGCAGTACAGTAATTCATTATGCAATTATGATACATAGTCCTACTAGTAGTAGTACTATCTAGTACAGTAGTACACGTTATGTTACCAATTGCATCTCTGGATTGTTTTTTCAGAACCATCCACACTCACAAGGATTAGCTTGTGCCAACGGGACCTTCCATAGGAAAGAAAGCCACATTTACTTACTGACAAAGTGTGCAATAAACTGGCAGAAGTATCTACAATTGAAGCATAGTTTTCAACCTACGAAAGACTCAATTACAGTTCTATGAAAGCGTATTCTTAAAACATATATTAGATTTAATTTAACATTCCAACAGGGTACCCATCCAAACTACTGTTGTACATAGTGCTATTGCCCAAAGTGCTATCACCATCATTAGACTCATCATCGTCAACTAAAGGCACTTGACGTCGTACACTGAATGGTGCGAGGGAGTTAATGTCTTCGTCGGGGGTTTCCATATTTTCATTAGGATTATTCTCCAGAACTTCTCTGTTCCGAGAGGAATAGCTTGTCCCATCAACGGCACGGGACTCTGATCCTACAGATGCTTCCAGTTGGAAAAAAGATACGTCATTTTTTAGTTGACCAACTTCCACTTCACGACAGAGGACCCGGTCCTCTAATTCACATATTCTCATCATCAAGGCCCTTGCTTTTGTCAATCCATCCTTTGATGAATTGTGGAGCATCTGATCTTTCTGATTTATAATCTCCCCGATCATGCTCGTAATTTTTTCTTCTTGTTGCACCAATTGACCTCCCACTGTATCTAAATGAGAGATTTTCTGTCGCAGTTGCTTGAGCTTGGACTCTTGTTCGTCCAACTGGAATCTTAATTTCATAACAGTGCGGATGTCGAATGACTCATCAGAACTGGCGAGAGACATCGGTGGCAAGCTTTCGTCACTTTTTAGTGACATTTTGTCCGAGAGTTGATGTTCTGCCTGACGATGTTCTGTTAACTGACTCGCTACGCTTTGAGAATTATTTCTTTCGGAGGCGGTCACAATCATACCAGACACTTTGTCTTCTGAACTGCAATCAGTATCAGTATACTCCTCGCTGCTGCTGCCTTTCTCCTTTTCATCACTACTTGACTCAGTCAAACTCATTTCTGCGAACATTTCATCGTACTTTCTGTTGTCGTTCAACTTGTTACGGAGAGCCTTAGTAGCATTTTTATCGGTGTTGCTGTGAGAGACTTTAAGCAACTTCGGAGTCGTGAAATTTATCTGGGATGGGAAATTTGTATGAATTTGAGAGTTTCGCGTCCACAAGACTTGCGTCACAGATGTTTCTTGTAATAAACCACAAAAGTTGTGTCCCACGTCGTGCATTTCAACCATCATCTTAATAAGAGACACTTCAAGAACCCATTCACTCGATAGATCGCCACTCTTGAACTTCTCGGAGGCATCGTTTTCTGTCGATCCATATTGAATGAAGTTGATAAGTTTCTCTCTTTTTGAAAGTAGCTTGGTTGACTCGGGAGAGAATGAAAAAGCTACTAAATCTTTTGCAGCTTCAATCCAATGGGGTAGAACAAGCTTGATATTTTCAAAAAGTAAAACATCGGCCAAAATGGAAAGAGCATTTTCCCCTCTCATAAGGATCATTCCTGAAAGCATCAAAGGAAACACTTTTTCCACTACCTCGGCTGCGTCATTGACAATCAAGGGGTATACCCCGTTCGTGTCATTAACAATAGGGACGCCGGTACAATCATCAACAAAGTAGAAGTACGCAGGTCCGTTCTCGTATAGCTTCAAGAATTTATCGAAACTTTCTTCTCGTTTGAGCTGGGATTCACGATTTTCCCTATTCATTTTATCAACGAGATCGTGCCCGAAGAATTCATCAAGTTTTTTGTCAAGGACAGAAACAATATTTTTCGGCGATGTCAAGCGTGACAAGTGACCAGCAAATTCCATTGCTATTTTCGCTGCTGCTGGAGATTCAAGCCCTAGGCCTCCTTTACCATCTTGCACAAGCTTGTATGGAAGAATGATGAAACTACTTGGGTACGACTTTTCTTGAATGTGAAAGATTGTTCTACAGAGAGATCCAACGTAGCCCTGCCCATGAAAGCGAAAGCGTAGGGAATTTTCTTTGTCAAATTCTCGTAGCTTCGGACTTCCTATAGTTGTATCTACTTCACCCGGCACCGTGTGCACAAGCATTGGGATATCAGTATTTGATATCCTGTACAATCTATCCATGATAACATCGGCACAAATGGGTATTGCACAATCGATTGCCGCTTTTCCTTCTTCATTTACTACCGACGCCAAATATCGCACTGCAAGATATGGAAGATGATCAATAATTCTCGAGATACTCTCAGCGTAGTGATCAGTGGGATCATCTTCACCTTGAAACTCACACATCCATATCCAAAAAAACGTAGCAGGTCGTGTCATCACATAATTTCCTTTCGTATCTTGGTATTTAATCTCCTTCTGAATCATGTGTTCCATTCGTCGCATTCGGTATGCTTCGTTTCGGTACGGAAGTAACTTCGGAGAGAAAGCAAACATCAAATCAGATCTTCGCATTGCATTCATTGTTCCGTAGATCTTGTCGAGCATGGCTTGTGTCATTTCTTCGTCAGGGTGAAAGTTCACCTTTTGGATCTCCCATTTCGGAAAATCTGTTGAGAGTCTATCGTGGAGCTCAAGAGGAGTGGAATCATTTGGAACAAAGGTTTTGATATCTCCCAAATCACACATGGTAGATGCAGCATTTGGACACGTTTCCAATAGCGAACGAAGTGTACTGTATGGCACTGTAAAGATCGCAGCGATATGTAATGGAAGGATTCGTCCCACACTTCCAGAATGCAAACACAAAGAATCGACTTCAGAGATCGGTTGCAAAACTAAATTAATGCATTCGGACATAGATTGATACAACTTCGTGATACCAGATCCACTATCTGGTTCTTCGTCACTATTCCTTGCTTTATCATAAACTTTCTGATACCAGCGGCCTTCCCACTCCATCAAATGACGAGCCATTATGTGTACTGGAAGATCTCCATTTTCATTAACTCTTTGGCAAACGTAAGGATCAGCTTCAACAAGTACTTCTATCAGCTTTCGATACAACGTCAGATCGTCAATTAAATCGTTGATCCGACAGGTTTGGTCTTTTCCGAATCGTTTTGGGAACGCTCGAAAGCAGGCTGCGTGCAAAGCAAACGTATTGAGACTTGGCAGTCGTTTTGACGCAATACTGGGATTGAAGTGAATCGTCTCCTCGAAATCAAATGGAAGTGGATCTCCAAAAGAAAGTGCTTCCAAGAGCATCTGCTGCGGTGTGCGCATATCGTCTTCCTGATCTAATTGATCCGCATAGGATTCAACAAGTGCTTCATCAGCTTCTCGTCTCAGTGTAGAAGAAATTGGTTCAATTGCATCCCTCTCTGTGTTCACGATTGCTGTAGCTAGTGATGAGTTCATTGCTGACGAGGACTGATTGCCAAACTGATCTTTTTGATAATAGCGCTCTTCGATGTCTTCCGAGAACGTGACCTTCAGAACGCGGGCACTATCATTTGAATCTCGAGAAGCACATTTCCGAATTGTTGAATTTAAATGAGGGGTCATGGTTGAAGGCAAACGCGATGGACTATGTCCCCGACTTTCGTAGTACTTCTGTACTGCTTCATCGAAGGTTGGCATTTTCATGCCAGTCTTTCGAGCACGTTTAGATGGTGCCATATATGGGTCAGCTATATCAACCCGAATAGGTGATATGTTACTGTCTCGTAAATTTGGAGACATCTGACTTTCTACTCGATATACAATAACATCATCTCTGCCATCTAAATCGACGAAGCCATCGTTTCTTGTTTGGTTGTAGTAAGATGGAGGAAGTAACGGATTCTGCTTCTTCTCTTCTCCAAAATGAGGAATTGCAACTGATGATGGCGAGAATTCGGAGGCGTCGGCAGTTCTTCGTATTTGCACAGGTGAAAGCACGAGAGGCGATCCTGGACCATTTTCTTCATAAATGTCAGCTACGTCTAAGATTTGGTACCCATAGTTATCATTCAATACTGGCACTGGGACACTACTTTCTTCGTCAGAGACATCGACTACATAAGGTGAATCCTTAGCACCGATGTTGATATCTGCGACAGATTGATGGTGTGAGTGAGGAAAGGAATGACGACTTTTGCTCTCTTCAATTCTTCTCATTTCTATCTTTTGTTGCTGAGGATTTTTGTCTCCATTCTCAGAAACCTCAGTCAGATCGTAAATTTCTGTGATTTGATTATCCAGACCGTCTTTTAGAAGTTTGACCTTGATGTTTCCGCTACCAGAAGGAGAAGCAACTCGTTCTCGTTGAGCAGATATCTTCTGTAACATATCCTTCGCCCGTTTCGTGAAAGATTCTGCATCACTGACAATCGCGTGCTTCCAAACCGAAGAGTCATGTCCAAGAGATGAGATTGTAGTCTGTTCTATCGAGGAACTCTGATTTCCCTCGCTTTGACTGCCATTAGTTTCTGGAGAACTTTCGGTTTCAAGTTGCTCAGGACTACTTTTAGACCCTGGTAACAAGTCCGGAAATAGTATTTTTTCTTCCTCGACAGATGTATTCTCTTTTCTCTTTGTGTCAGATTTCGGAGGAAGAGCATCGAATGCAGCTTTAGCTGGAACATCATCCCCATCGTTAGACATAAAAGTGTTGAAGACTTCCTTGAGAGCTGCATCTTCCACAGAATTCGAAGACGGAAATTCAACAGATGTTGGAGGTTCGTTAGATGCATTTTTTTTTTTCTTGCCAAATAAGCCAAGCAGTTTTCCACGTTTCGTCTTCTTCTCTTTGTTTTGGAGAGAAGCGTCGTTGATGGTCGAAGTTGTCTCTATAGTACTTGACATAGACGCAGCATCTCTTATTGGTTTCGTGCGGAGTTCTAGTTTCCTTTGATACTTTCCGTAACTCAAAGCTTTTGGGAAAGGGCTTTCCTCAGGTGGATCTTCTTTTTGAGCACTCCTCCTTGCTTTTAATGAGGGGAAAGGAGACCGGCTCGGCGGATCGATCGTGCTTTTGTTCTTTTCAAGTTGCTTTCTTTTTCTATTACTTTCTGCTTCCTTCTTTCTTTCCTCTTCAGCAGCTGCGGCACCAACTCCCTTTGCATTGTAAACGAGTTCTATTCCGAGACTAGGCAACTCTTCTCGAAGAGGAAGCTTGGGTGCCTTCTCGGTGACACAGGTGATGCAAATATCGACGTCTCGTATCTTGCCCGTCATCTTCGCATTACCGTTTTTATATATGAACGGACTGTTTGTTATGCTGGCTTTTGAGCCGTTTTCCAGTTCGATAGCAAAACTTTCGATTGATAATGAAGCGTTATTCTGGTGTTGCTGTCGGCATCAGATTGATTTGCACTTTTTGTTGGCATAACAGTTGGGCACGTATTATTACTTGGATTTCTTACTCGTACGAGCGTTATATTAAATTGTGAGGAGATGCTTGCGCGTTGTTGAATAATTCACTTAGGGATTAGCGATTACAAGAAAGGGTCTATTGCTATCAAATCATATCGCTATTCGTACAAGCGACTTCGCGCGCGGCAATATCTCAAACGTCGAACCGGCATACCGTTCAGTACCAAGTACGTGCAGAGATAGAAGTGATTTTTGGTTCGAGTACGATTACTCGTAGTACGATGGAGGGAGGGTTATCTGGCATGCATTGCTGTTCACGGTCGGATTTTAAATACTACCGGCCGGTAGTAGAAGTACCCAGGATTTTATTTGATATTTGGCGTTTTCTTAGAGTTAGGGATAATACTAATATTTTGTAGGAATCAAGCAATCTGATTGGCTGATTACACAGATCAAAATTTGCAGTCCCTTGAAATTCATTTTCCTTGACACTCTGCTGGGCCCTCCTCTGTTAGTTTTTGAGGAAGACAGTCCCTGCTAACCAAGATCACATTTCACATAGTAGGTTCTTTAAAACAAAGAGAAACAAAGAGAGTACTTCCCAGGTGATATTCTCTTTGTCATTTCTCTTTGATGTATAAGAAAATTGAGAAGCAAAGCAATCAAAGAGGAACAAGAAGGAGAGGCATCATTTTCTTTATTTCTCTCTTTATGAACAGGAAGTGTCCCCATCATTTTATCATGCAAAAACAAAGGAGAGATTACTATTACTAGTACTAGTGCCCAGATTTCTTCTTTATTCTCTCTGCTTAGCTAAACAAAGACGTGGCGGAGAAGAAACAATGTGAACATTGCCCACCAGACAATATTCTCTCTTGTGTTTCTCCATATTTTAACAATGGGGATGCAACAAATAAAGAGAATTAAGGAGAGGCAATATTCTCTTACTTTCTCCTTTTTATTATAACAACAATTAGAAACAATCATGAGAATAATGCCCTTTAAACAAAGAAGATAAAAATTCTCTTGTTTCTCCTTGTTTTGGGAGGTGTACTGGAAACTTTTTTATTTTGGAAAAAAGCTAGTTGAGGGCCCTGGTGGTAGTAAGAATCAATCCAAACTCAAGTTTTGATTTTGAACATACTACTACTACTACTACTAGAGTAGTAGTAAGAACACAAATCCTAGAAACTGATTGTTTGATTCCATATTATCCCAAGTAGTAGTAACTATCCTGAAAAAGCCAAATGTCAAATAAAATCTGCTTTTTTGCATTTTGAACTGCTGTGCTGGCAGTTCCTTCGTCACATTTGTTACACTTTTATMTGAACAACCAAAGTAGAAGAAGAACAAAAACAAGAAGCAGCAAGAAGAAGAACCTACTACTAGTAGTACTAGTAGTAGTAACAACAACAGCAGATTGGACAAGCATACTGCTACTAGTAGCTAGTACTGGAGCTGAGGAGGGCGAGGAGAGAAAAGTGCACTACTACCACAATTCTAGTAGCTACTAGTTACTAGCAGTAGAATTGTGAATTTACTAGTGACAGTATTACTAATAGTAACACAAGAAATGTGGAAGTAAGAAACAACAATTTTTCGAAAACGTTCTCACAAAAAAAATGATTTTGACAATCGGATGAAGATTGTTACTTTCCTCCTTCTTGCGTCGATAGTGAGAAAGATAAAAGAAACACTTATGACGTCAAAGAACAAGCCGAATAAATCTTGATTGAATATCATATGCCCACCTTTCAACTCGGTTTCAAATTCGACAGGCGTCGCGCCAAAACGGTCTTTTCAAGCGAGCACGCTTTTGACCGTTTGAGATGTCGTTTGGTGTTTCTCGTAGAGTGCCTCGCTAACAGCGAGCGCTCCAGGGTTTTTTGCCTGGTGTGATGGGACGGATCTTTTCATGTTTTGATTGATTTGAAGTTTTCCACTTCAGAGGAGTTTTCCGGTGATATGTGTCTTATTCGACGAGTGGAGAATTTTCTTGTCGTATTCATTCTCAAATCAAATACGGTAGCCAGTGGTGACTGTATCAACTGAAGACGCAATTACCCCTAGCTCACAATAAGACAAAAATCGGATCCTTCAACAATGACTGCTATTGCCACCGCCAAGTCCCTGCGCTCGTTATTGATTGCATCCCTCTTCGTTGTCCAAACCTCGGCGTACACCAAGACCACGAAGAGCTTGTACGATATTGGCTGCGCCACTCAGTGTCAGGATCAAACAGGGGACCCGATCGATGTTTCGGGCATTGATTTTGCCGATCTTGTAGCAGCTGCTCTCATCAGTGGGAACAGCACGAGTAGCACCGGAAACTCCACGGACAACGAAGTTTTGTTAATATACGGAGATATTGAATGCTGGGATGTCTCGGAAGTTACCGACATGTCTGGTGCCTTTGCCTTTCAAGAAAACTTCAACACTGATCTTGGATGCTGGGACGTCTCGAGTGTGACAGATATGTCCGAGATGTTCCTTGAAGCAACAAGCTACAACCAAGACATGAATGTCTGGGCGGACAAGGTCCCGAGAGACAATATCGACACAACAAGCATGTTTAATAGTACTGGATGCGAAGTGGAGTCCGATCCCGATACCATCGGACGGCCATGGTGTCAATACGAACGGCCGATGTGGTCACCCGAGTTCGAATGCTTTTTCTTCAGGAATTGCTAGATCTAATAGAATTCAAATCGAGTTCCCGCTCTTCATTGCATTCGAGCTCTTTATGTTTGTAAGAAACCATTGGTACAAGTACCATCGAGAAGTCACCGCATGAACTGGATGAAGCATTTTTGTGTTGCGTATCTGATGGGTTATAGTCATACCAACAATCATTGTAACACAACACAGCCTCCACCATCACTTAAATGTGTAGGATTATGAATAATCTTGTATAATATGATTTTACGAAAGTGAAACCATCACGCACTCGAAACGTTGAAGACGAAGACGATGCATGTATGTGACAACCATAGCACTTGTTAGGTGTTCCAAAGTCCTAGCCTAGACAAAACCATCTGTTGTGTTGCGCAATGCTACCTTGGTCGTTCCGTGCATCGGTAAAAGGATGCCACGTCTGCCAGCTCGTGCAGCCCCGATTCCCACAACATTCGGGGCATCGAGATCCTTCCCAGTCTCCACCGAATCACCCGCGCCAGGGTCCCGCCCCTGGGGAGGCACACCGGGTTCCCCTCGATCGCCTCCAGCAGGGAGCCATCGTCCCCTTCTAGCACCGAGGGGGGGAGCCCGAGCAGGGCCCGCTCGACCGCCTCCTCCCCGGAGCCCTCGTCTTCGCTTCGCGGTGGCGACGACGAGGTCTCGACGACGGCCGCGGGTTCTCGGAGGATCCAAGACAGCAGGTGGGCCCCCGGTCCGGGGTGGGTCGCGCAGAGCTCACAGGCCCGCAGGATCCGTTTCCGAAGGAGGAGCCGGTTCTGCTTCGAGGCTTCCCCGTGGTCCGTTCCGGAACCCCCCGCCACGAGTTCCCGACGGTCCGGACCGTACGGCGTCGCCAGCCACGCGAGACACTCGTCGGGTGCCGCTACCGGGGACCCTTCGGCCTCGGTGCCGGTCGCTTCCACGGACCGCAGCGCTAGACCCAGCATCCTCCACGATGGCTCGAGGCGGGCCCGAACGGGCTCGGTTCCGTGTTCTGGTTCTTTTTCGCAGAGGTCCAAAAACCGCCGGACCCGGTCCGGATCGAGGAGGGGCTCCGCCCGCGGCAGGGCGAGGTGGGTCACGGCCGCCATGCCAGAGGCCTTCCCCCGATCGCACCGCAGGCGGAGTTCTACGGCGCGCGGGCTGTCCCGGAGGTGGAGGGTCAGGGATTCGTGTTCCATCACGGCGCCACCGGTGGGGGCTCGGTGCCGGAGCCGGTCCTGGTATGCCACCAGGAGGCCCTCCCGTCTACCGGAGGATCCTCCCTCCTTTTCTAGGCCGGACCAGAACTCTGCCAGGTCGTACAGCGACGTCCATGGTTCCTGCGGTGTTTTGGGATCGCTGTTGCAATTGCGATTGGTATCGTCAGTATCATCGCTACTTCCATTGCCATTGCCATTGCCATTGCCCTTTCTGTTGCGATTGCCATCCTCTCCCATCCGATCGGAGCGGGTTCCCACCAGAAGGTGCCACAGGGCCCCGGAGATGCTTTCCGAGGTCGGCGCCAGCTCGAAGGGCCTGCCACCCGGACTCGCCGAAAGGTACTCGCACCCGGGAAGGTCGCTCAGCAGTTCGAACCAGGCCCGGCCGAGCTCTGTTTCCCGGACCTCGTCGTCGTCGCACCGTGTCAGCCACCCCAGGAGCTCGGGGGAAGCAGAGGCCGGGAGCCTCGAGGGGTCCATTTTGCCCCCCTCCTCGTCCCACAAAAGAAGCGTAAGTATTTCCCGCACCGCCGCCTCGGTACAGTCGGCCCTGGAATCGCCCCCATCAAAGGTGTAGTATCCGTTGGGAACCACCGGTGGCGTCGCCCCTGCTCCCAGCGGCTGGCTCTGCAGAACGATCGCGGCACACACCAGCTCGAAGGACCGGGCGATCGTGTCGTTTTCTTGGGATTCCTCCTCTTCGTCGTCGTCGTCGTCCCGCACAAGGGCCCGCCATGGCTCCCCGCAGTGGTCCAACAGCCGGTCCATGGCCGCGTCTAGCCTGCTCCGGGAAAGATCCGTCTCCCCCAGGGGCGGGAGGCCCCCGAAGCTTGCCGGGACGGAGATCCCTGCGCGAGCGAGGGCCACCGCGTATTCGCCGGCCCAGGAGTCCCTCGACGGGGCAGCCGCCCACAGCGCGATCCCCCACAGGGCCGACACGAGGGCAGCGTGGCACACAAAGGCCTTGTCCGGAAGCGTGCTGCCCCCTTTCCGCTTCTCCGGAAAGCCCGCGAGCAGGTCCGTCCACCGGGCGAGGGATATCCCCGTCCACTCGGTGCCCCGGATGCGGTTGGACCGGATCCCAAAGCCCTCTCCCAGGGCGGCCCTCGCCTGTTCCGGCGACGATCCTTCGCGGTGGTGGTTTGCCAGGAAACACCCGATCAGCCCCGGGTCCAGATGGCTGGCAGGCATCGACCTATTTCGGACGAGGTGGACGGGAGATTCGCGGATGAGCCGGAAGAAGAGGTTGTTGGCGAGGAATCCGACCTGCGAGAGGAGGAGGGACCACCGGGCATCGTCTTTTTCGTCTTCGTTTTCGTTCTCGCCGGAGCAAGCCGGTCCCCATCGAACCGGCGCTGCTTCGGGTCTCAGCTGCCCCAGCAAGAGCAGGTTTCCGAGGAGTGGCGAGACCGAGAGCGCGGCTCCCAGGCACGGCGAGAGGTGCCTGGCCCCCGGAAGCAGGGCCGTCCCGCGAAGGTCGTACGGCGTCGGAGGCAGCGAGCGGAGCAGCGAAGCCTCCCCACCCCATCGCGGGGTTCGCTGGAGGAAGAGGGGCCTGGCCCCGGGGGAGGGGTCGCCGCGGGAACCGGCCCGCGAGGCCAGGGGGCGTTTCTGCTTCGGTTTTCGCTTCGGTTTCCGGGGACCCATCGGCGGCGGGAACCGTCCTCGGCCGCGGACGGATCCCCGCGTGGACCCGAGTGCGAACAGGAGCGAGGGTCTCCGTGCTACGGCGGGCCCCGCGAATCCCATGCTATCCAAGGGCTTCGGACGATGGTTGGTGGCCGTCGAAGTATTCTGAGAGCTTCCCAAAAACGAAATGTGTCGCCAACCAAGATAGATACTGAATTACAAGTACTACGGTAGGGTACCGTAGCGTATGGTACGTACTATCTGGTGATGTTTCGATGTTTGAATTTTTGAAACACGGATCGACCTCATTTCTCCATTAGGGATGAGAATAATTAAAAAATGAATTCCGTTTTTTTTTTAACGGAGTTTTTGGCGCGAGTGTTTCGCCTTCGATTTCTTTGGTTTCGTACCGGTACACGAGTAACGAATAACGCATTGAACGGTACGTATCATCCAAGAAGTACGTACCACACTGTGTACGAAGTTGTACGAGGTACCGTACTGTACTTGCATCTTTATTGTAAACACCCTTTCATGTGACACTAAAGGGCATAAGTACATCTCACAGTACGAGTAGCGTACTCGTACTTCGAAAGGCAAGAAACCGGCCGTCCCGTCTCGGTCGTATCGTACGAACTGTACGGTACGGTACAGGAGTGCTTTGTTTCTCGTAACGTATGTGCGGTACGTGCTACATACTGTACTACACTGTACAGAACAGCAAGCAGGTGCATCTTCGTTTCATTCGCCATCGTGCCGGTACTGCTGTACGGTACGGTATTGCCGGTACGTAACCGTTCGCAGTTCGCGCGGTAGCAGTTCCATCCAGGCACGCATTGCATTGCACTTGTTGGTTCTCTTTCTTGCGGAGGGCGAGTTGATGCCGAAGACGAGTCCTGGTCCGAAGACGAGCCCGGGTTCCAGCGAACAACGAGACACCTACAGTGCCAGGGTGCACCAGCTAAAGACCAAAAAGCGCCGCCTCGAGAGAACCAGCACCAGCGCCTTCGACGATTCGAACACGAAGCACCACTCGGTAGAACAAGAACCGCTGCAAGCGTCGCTTCCACCACCCAAGCCCCCACCGCTTCCCACCGCGGCTGCTGCCAGGATCCGGAAGCCCTCGCTCCCTGCCACTACCATGCGCCGGATCGGAACCGCGGTGGGGCGGGCGGCCTCCCCCGTCGTGGAAGCGATGGACGTGAACGCCATCCTGGAGCAGGTCGACGTCAACGAGATCCTGCAGAACATCGACGTCAACGCCCTCCTGGAACGCATCGACGTCAACCGGTTCCTGGACGGGGTGGACTGGAACCGGCACCTGGATCGGGTCGACGCCACCCGACACCTCTCCAGGGTCGACTACGACGCGCTGGTCCAGAAGTCCAACCTCGAGGAAATCATCGCCCGGTCGACCTCGGGGGTCATGAGCGGCTTTACCAGCATGCTGCGGACGCGGATGGCCTTTGTCGACCAGTGGGGCCAGCGGATCTTTCGGTGCTACTACTGCAACTGCAACACCAAAAAGGATCGCAGGCGGAGGAAGAAACTCGGCGAGGACGGCCACCCCAAGGAGTACCTGCCTCCCCGGCCCGGCCGGCCGGAGGACTCCCGGGACCTCTGGAAGAACCCTAGCAAGCTGGACGCGCAGTCCTTTGCCAGAACCATCCAGTTCCGGACCAGCGGGGCCCTCAACCGGCTCGCCTATGGCATCATCGATTCCCTCATCATGTGGGTCACCTTCGCCATCGGGACGTCGATCATTCAGCGGCTGGGAGCCGCCTTTACCGACGATAAGGACTGGACGAAACGGTTCCCCGTCACGCAGGCGTGGTGGTTCGAGTACTCGATCTATTTCTGCGCCAACAACCTCTACTGGATCTTTCTGGTGGGGTGCTTCGGGAGGACCATCGGCATGTGGACTTTGGGACTCCTCATGGTCTCCAAGAACGGGAACCGCGTCTCCTTCTGCCAGGTGGTCGTCCAGGCCTTTCTGACGCCGATCAACCTCTTCACCTTTGGCTGGGCCATCGGCTTTGTCCGGCGGGACGGGGCCTTTCTGAGCGACCTCATCGGGGGCGTCCGCCTCGTCTACGCCTGGGACGTCCGGCACATTGCCGCCGACACGGCCGACATTGCCATGTCGATGAGCGATTTCGTGGACCCCCTGACCCAGACCGAGCGGGAGGACCTTATCGACGACGACAGCAGCAGCAGCGAAGACGATGACGGCCAGGAGGACGGCAGCTACCACGGGAGGAGCGGTGCCATCGAGATCTCGGACCTCTCCCGCTCCAGCTACTGCGAGGGCAGCGAGCACTCCGCCTACTTTGAGGCCGTGGACGTGGAAAAGAGATAGGGACGGGACGGGACACCGCCACGACACAACTCGAACAGCCGCCCGCGGCGTGCCGAGAGGATCCCCCGGGAGTTAGGGGAGGATCGGTACCGTAGCACGGGGAGAGGAACAAGGGAGCGGCGCAGCGGCCTGCGGTGAAGATCGCGTGGTGTCGGAAGAGTCAGTAGTTGAATTTGGAGAGGACTGTCTTTCCGGCGACCATGCTCGTCGAACCCACCGACAATTTCGCCGCACGCCTGCAAAGCACGTACAGTGCCACTCAATTAGGTACTTAACGGTGAATCAATGATAAAATTTTTATCAATGATAAAATTTTTCTGATGCAAGCGGAAAAAAAATGAAAACGTCACCAACACCATTGTGATGTCATGATTTCAAAATGTCAAACGTAATATTATTTTATCTAGACTTATCTATGTAACATCGGCAATATGGTACACCACTCCGGCCTTTCAAAAATCGCTTACGCACCGCCCATAAAAAAACCAAACTAACAAACCAAGCCGAGAAAGCAAGAACACCCTTTGGAAAACGATCGTCATGAATTTTTCATATGCTGCGATCGCTGCACTGACTGCTGCGAGCAGACTTCGTTTTGTCGAAGCAACCCCTTTCCCCATTGGCCGCTATGAGCTGTTTGCCGATCCAGATTTTTCCCTACAATTGGATAGCCTCGATCCCTCCCTCGAAGGAAAATTCATTGTCGAAGGACCGCAAGACAAGGTGGTACTAAACGATGACAATGAAAAATATTTCTCATTTGATTTGTATACAGTTCCTGGAGGCGACGACGAACCATGTGATGCAGGAGAGATCGTGGCAGGTGTTTCCCTTTGGACGAGTGGTGTAAATGATGAGATTTATGCCGCGTTGAAGCAAACTTCCGATGGACATTTTGGTGCGTACGTATTCTCCCTAAAAGCTTAACAGTTTGGTTTGGTCTGTCTGTTTCGCGCAGTGTTTCGCGCACGTTGGTGGCGTATATTTCAGCATATATCTCTTCCGTATGAACATACCTTCCGTATTTCGCGTTCTTACTCCCGACGACTATCATGCGCGACTAAGAAGCAAGAAATGGTGTGTTGGGAGTGCGTCTGAAACAAGAACAAATCTAATGAGTCAAATCAAAATTTGACCGGATGACTCCTTCAACAACTCACGCTCTTGGTCTTCTCATGTTTGCATCGTTGAGATACAGTGATTATTCATTTTTCGATCCCCAATGTTCGCACTTCCGAATTCTATACGCAAACTGGTCAAGGGACGGGCGTGGCCAAAGCTTGTAAGTGCCATTGATCATGTGTCATTTGGATGGTGTTGTGGTGATGTTTTTCTCACCATTCTTCCTTGTGCGTGCGTGGTGCACACTAGGTATCCGGGCTGCCCTGTTATCGGAGACCGGTACCAACCAAGACGATTTAGAGGTTGTTTCCTATCTCGACGCACAATTGACACTCAATGTCGATGACACAGGAGCTTTTCTCGCAGGCGGTTTTGATCAAGAGGTGACGCTTTCTTCGTCAACAAAATTGATGCAGAATGAACAACTTATGAACAGAATTCCCGTTGAGTCTTTCGTGTGTGGTACAAAGGGCATCAATGGCGGGTCACCAATCGAAGAGGAGTTCAAGATTGGTCAAGACTTCCAGATCTGTATTCGTCCAACGGATGTTGATTCAGACTTCAAAGTCGTGAGTTTCAAAGACGTTTTCTGCGGCATTGCAGCTGACGGCACCGGTGGCACCAAACTAGTAGATGATACTGGAGCACCAACTAGCGATTTGACCATTGTCACATCAGATGTTGAAGAAAGCATGGATACAGCCGGGACTCCAATGGGAGTTCTTGCGGCCGCATTTAAGAGTGTAGTCACCCCATCATATTTTTCAGGCGCGGCAGATTCTTTCCGATGCAAAGGTGAAGCAATTTTACAGCACAAGGACACCCCCGTAGAGGAAGACCCCGTAGAGGAAGACCCCGTAGAGGACCCTCTCGGAGCCATAACAGGTTGCCACTACGTCGTCGATAGTCCTTTTGAACTAGCTGCGGACGAGACATTCCAAATGGGTTTTTGTATCAATGGTGTTCTTCCAGTAACTACGACCAATGCATTTGTCGGATTTTTGTGCCCTCCAGAGATCCAGGAGGAGTATGGGGGTACATTTTGTACATATGGGACAGGTGCGTTTCAGCCCATCCCTTCGCTGGACCCAGTCGGGTTTTTTTTTGAAGGTGAAGCCGTACAACCCCAAGAGGTACAATTGTATGACCCCGATGTCACACAAAAATGTATGGGGAGAGGAGTTTTTTACATGCATCAAGGGGACGGTGTAAGTTGTCAAGATTGTATTTGCACAAAGTCACAAATGTTTCTGTAGTCGCTCTGCTCTCTCACCACTAACTTGCAACGACAATCTTAAATGATTCTCGGACAAAGATCGATCCTGAAAAGGTGGGACTAAGCGGCGACTCGTTCAAGTTTAAATTTCATGGAATGACAAAATTCCCTTTGACTGTTTGTGCATACCCTAAGATGGAAGTTCCATCTGATATCCTACAGACATCATCGGGGGGCAAGAAAGAAATTGATGCTCTTGGTCCTTTTATGTCGGATGGCTTCGTTCCAACACTGAACGCCGACGGTACGACTCCGATGGTATTTGCTGAAAACCACATGGAGGTTTGCAAGACTATCGAGCAGCCTTCTCAGTGCAGCGTTTCATTTGATATCGACGACCCACCTGTTCAAAACCCCACTTGTTTCTATCAAATTGATAGTCCTTTTCTTTTGGACAATGAATACAAACATCTCCAGATTGCTTTCTGTGTCAAAGGTGCTATGCCACATTATACAAATATTGCCGTTAGGAATGGGGACTCGAAACTCGAGTATCCTTTCTATAATTCAGGTCCCACCATCAATGAGAACCCATCTGTAGAATATCATCTGGGTAGGCAACCTGATGGCAGCTATGTTGATGCAACGACTTCTTTTGACCCGCAGGTGGAGCAAAAATGTTTGGGGGGAGGGGACTTTCTTGCTCACAGTGAATGGGGTGTAAGTTGTATAGGCACACTGATATTTGCACAAATTCATACATACTTCTGTACTCACTTTGCCAACTCTGTCATCGCTGACTTGCAACACCAACTCTGGACGATTTTTGGACGAAGCATACATTCGACCCTCAATTTCCAGAAGCATTGAAGTTTACTTTTAATGCGCCAACAACTTTTGAAGAACCTTTGATTATTTGTGCTTACACTCATGGGGTAGCAAATCACTTTGATGCTTACAACGCTCTTTTACAAGATGGCTTTCAGACGACAGGATATTACCTTGGTAATGAGGAGTATGCGGAGTTGTGCAAGACTATTTCAGGACCTGAACAGTGTACCTTATACAAGAAACCTGCAGCTCCTCAAGGTCAAGGTCGCCGTTTGAACGCAAGTTTCGCGGCCAAATCTCGTGGACTCCAGGAAGGTTCTCCCGAGGAGCCCGGCAGCAGCTCCTTTGTCACCTCTGTCAGTCTTGACTTGGACCGTTTCGATGCCGATCGCATCGGCAGCCTCAGCGCGTCCGCATACAATGTTGATTCCACCGAAGAGCGTGCCATTGCGGCTGCTGCCCTGGTAGCCGTCGCATTGGCTGCTATTATTTAATGGCATTTTGCGAATTCGCGCCTACATGTAGTATCTATTTTCTAAATTGAGCACCATAATATTTTAGGGCCGCTGAACTTTTGCTTTTTCGTCCTTTGTGAAAACTTCAGGGACATCGATTAGGAGACTGCTCAAACTTGATCGCAATAAATGTAATGGTCAAAAGCAGATTCGTATTGCAGCTCTTGTTTACACCGCATTCCAACTATAATGCAATCTTTTCTGAGCGATTCTTACGATGTTATGCCATCATTGAAAGAGGAAGGAGACTGCTTCAGATCGTTTTGCTGTTGCTACCGTGAAGCTTCCTCTCGGATCACCTCCCACTCGTCTAACCGGGCCCATGGTGGCTGGTCGAGGACCGACTGCTCGTGGAAGTGGTAGCGGCCCCTCAGGACCTCGCCGGCTCGGACGACGTGGCCGGGGGTCGCCGCGATCCTCGGTTGACGTGCCTGTGTTGGATTCGCATCGGTTGTTGAGGGAACGACGGTGGTCCCTTTCTCGCTGCCATCTTCGCGGCCGGTGCGCGGGTTTCCTCCGGGAGCCAGAGCCGCCCCCCGGAGAGCTCCGCCTGCCACCAGTCCCTCAGCGCGGCGTTTTTCACGATGCTCCCGGGGAAGCTTCGCTCCTTCTTCTCCCCGCCGCCTCCGATCCCCAGGGCCTTCCCGACGGTTCTTCCCGCAGCTAGCCTGCCCACCGGGAGCGCCCGCTCGACGAAATACGGTGCCACGTGCCGTAGGTTGCCGAGGCACGGCACCTCCGGGACGGAAGAAGACGAAGGACCGGGACCATCCCGATCCCCCGGGAGGCTCTGGTCCGCCGCTCGGGAAATTCCCTGTTGGCGGGGAAGGGCCGGAGAGCCGGCCATGGTGTGCCTCTTCCTTGACTTATTTGTACGGTGCAACGGGGACACAGAACAAACTCCGTGAGGCGGCAGCAAATTCGGCGCGTTCCAAAGACGAGATTCGCTAGGCAAGACACGGAACCGAAGCGACTGGCGTTCGTTCACAACGTGTGGTTGCGGCCAAGAAAGCTACGGTCCTCTACTGCATCCTCTTCTGCATCGATGGTGCGTTGGCTGGTAGCGGTATCGCAGAGCCCCGCTTTGGGTCGACCATATGTACGGTACATGCATGCCGATGGTGCTTTTGCCCTCAATGTGTGAAAGTCCAGAATCCATTTTGATAGTACGAACCATACTAGTGGCTTGTTGGTCGACAGTTTTTTGACAGATTGGGGTTGGGGTTGGGGTTGGGGAAGAATCCACAAGTCATCCATCCACCATCTTCCCTTCTAGAGGTAACAAAAACTAGCTTGAAATTTTGGGATGACACGCTCTTTTTTCTGTTCGTACCGTGTGGGTACATGTAACAAAATATACAATAATATATACACAGTACAAAGTGCGTAGGATTCTACACACACACAAATTATCGCCAACTCGCTGAAACACAAGTATTTATAAGAGAGAGGCTTACTACTGGAGGGGAAACTACCAAAAAACTTAGTGAAATTTTGAAGTACACGAGTACTGCTTAWTTTACAAGTACTTCGGAGTACTCGTAAGAGTGCTAACTACTGGAAAATGAAGGTACAACAAAAAACCTGGAAGTCGACAGTACTAAGAGTACTGCTTACTACTGGAAATAAACACCTCCACACGAACTCCTTACTACTGATTCCTACAAGCACCTCAGGCCCAATACTACTGGTACWGGGGGTRTTGCTAACTGTGTTAATAGGAATACTGCTTACTACTATTTCTTAACAGCTATCTAACATTGCTCTTTTATGCAGGATAGCACCACACGTAACACCGCCACGAATAACACGGAATAACAACACGAATAACACAGCAACAAATCGCTGCAACGAATCCAGCAGCAACGAATCCAGCAGCAATGAATCCAG